CCATTGTGTCCTTGAATAGCGTCGCAAAGTTATCGTTGTAATTGGCTGCCGTTAGGCCGGCAATTTCGGACAGGCACTTCAGGGTCACATTGCGGAACATGGGTACGCTGAGAAACTTAAAGATCAAAGTCTCTATTAGCGTCGTCTCGAATATGTAGCCCAATGGTATCCAGTTGAGAAAACGCAGCAGCGTCTCCAGCGTGACCTGTATCAGCGCTGCATTCATCGAATTCTCCAGGACAAACGAACAGAGGGTGAAAATCTGCGAAAACTCCGAGCACATCGTATCCTTCAAATGCTTGGCCTTCGTTTGCGTTATCTGCCCCAGCGAGAAATCAAAGACCTCTTCGCTAAGATTCTTCAGAATAACCATATTGTTCATGCACAGGCTTTCGTTTGTTTTGGAAGCGCCCACAATATCGCTAATAAACGTCTCCCAGTTGCGTGGCCATTCGCGCTTCAGTATCTGCACCAGAATCATGTTCAGCTTATTTAAATAGACTTTGTTCTGCTCCATGATGACCGGATCTGAGGATGTTTTAATGATTAGGCTGACCACATACTTTTTGATACCCTCGCACTGATTTCGCGGCAGCACCTTCCAGCGTGTCTTGATGACCTCTTCGAGTATTTGAAGCGCATAGAACTTGGTTTGCTGATTCTGTGAATATTCGAGTATGCTGTCGACACGCGTCCAGGCCTCGGGATGCTCCTTCAGTGTGGTAAGTATATCCTGCGCCAGTCGCAGCTGCTCACCCTGCGACGAGTAGAGCGCCTCAACAATCTTATCGAGCAGATTGATGTCCAGCTTTTGATTGAAGTCGAGCAGCTTGCTCGCCTCATCGGAGCTCAACATCGCCATCGCTTTGTAGTAAAAGCAGCGTTCGCGTCTGCGTCGCTCAGCAGCAGCAGCACCAGCAGAAGCTGTGTCCGCGTTAATTTTGATTGATTTTAGCTTGCTCCTCCGGCTAAAACGAGGGGGGAAGGCGCGTCAGTGATGAAATCTGTGGTAGCTGGCAGCTGCTGGTTGGTTGGTTGGATTGACTCTATAGAAGAATCGAAAATATCGAAATTACATTTATCGGCATAAAGGCAACCATATTTCTTTTATACATACATTTACGTATGTTTTCTTATTTTCTACACACAAACACCAATGCACAATTGCTTGTGGCGCGCGCTTACTTTTTTTTCGCACATACGCACACACACACACAGTAGAGATGAGCGATATTTGCGTACCTGTTACTCATCCCAAGCATCTCATAGTAGGAAGTCACTTGCATTTGTGTTAAGTGACTGGAAGAAAAAACGCGCCTTCAATAAAATACTTTCACTTAAATATATAAATATATATATAAGGTGTGATATGTGTAAACGCCTTGCACTGTTTCAAATGTGCGTATTTGAAGGGAGAAGTCGCCATCTGCTTTCTTGCTGCTCGTCACCGTCGATCAGACACCGCTCATCTCTAGCACACACAAATACACACGCACACACATGCCGCTTACACATGCAAAATACAATCAAAGCAGCGCAACGCATCTCGAGACTGCGACGGCATTTCACAAATCTAAATTGTACGCACGGCTTCGGGTTGTTGTACAACACATTTGTTGTTAAATTAAACCGACTTTTATGCACATTTACTTAATTTTAACTTTCTCACGCACTTACCTAGTTTTAGAAAAGCGTTGCAACCTACGAATCCCAAGAAGCAGCGTGGAAAACGACAAGCGCAAAACGAGTAAAAAGACTACAACGTTTTTGTCCAGACAGGGAAAAAATGTATTTCAAATTGCGAGGCACACAAGTCAATTTTATTCCTTTTGTAGCAAAATACATGCACGCTGAGCAATTATTTGCAATTTGGCTAACAACGGTTGACGTTGTGACCAATTTGTATGTTTGAAACAAACTTTTTCGCAGTACTTTTCTTCTCCTTCTGTAATGAAAACCAGGGATGGATCACAAGCGTCATGCGCGGTGCCGGAATCGAGTAGAGTTTATATAAATGGAAGTAACTAATAGAGAGCAGTAAGGAAATATACAAATCTCATTTATTTACGTTTACAACTTTTTTTTAACAAAGAAGTTCGTCTGCATTCAACAAATATCTACCGGCACAATATACAAAACTCAGTGTTTCCATATTAAACAAATATTCAGCCCTGACCTGAAATAGGTTTGCTTTTGCAAATATCGTTAATCGTGCCAATGTTGCATTTTCATTATCGACGTTTGAGCTTAGCGTGCCTATGCAGATACACGCACGAACTTCCAAGCAATTTCGACAATCCAGTTTTATAAATTTAAAATAGACAGATGTGTATTATTTAATCATGTTCACAGATATAAATAATTATGTTTGAATTGCTTAAGTTTTTTATCTATGGTATTTAGAAAGGAAAAATTTGCCCGTGACCAGGCTCAATAAATTCCACATTTGCTCATCTCTAATTTATTCCGAATTGACCACAGACACCAAACATCAACAAAATCCGATATACAACATTTTGTTTTTGAGATTCGATGTCGATTTATTTGCATTGTCTAACAACAAATGGCGGCTTACCCATATTTACCCGTAAAAAGGGCGAATGCGATAATGTAAGTATTTAATGATAATATATAGTCAGTGCTAATTTTGGTTAGTAACATCTGTTGTCGTTTTCGATTTAGCTGCCATTTTCGACTGTAGCTTCTCTGAATGGATTTCACATGTTCTTCAAATCACTCGGCATACAACTGCAAACCACACATACAGAAGAATGGACCTACATTTGGCGTGACTTTCACAATGCAATCACTTTCATTGTGTGTGGCCGCGGTATGGGCGAACTTCAACTTCAGGCCCTAGCGGAACTTGCTTTCGGAGGAATAGCGCTTTTTATCAGTCGCGATGAGTTAGCACATCCTGCGCTTTTGGAACGTCTAAAGAAAGATGCCAAAAAGTATGTGCCAGTTGTGGATGCTGCGCTGGAAGCGTCTAGCTCTGGTACAACTCTTTTGGGCTATACGGACTGTCTCCTGGCAACAGAAAATGCGCATCTATGCAACCGTTTAAATGAGTTCAGTGCCAATTGTGGGTCATTGTTCTGCTGCCTGGTTGTGGGCCAGCGTATTGCTGTAGCCACTGAAGGTTGGTGGGATCTGGACACACTGGACAGGGAGCTTTTGCTCTTTTTGCTCAACTCTTCCAGTACTCTGCAGCTCGACGTGCCCGTCTACCTGCCAAGCAAAAGTCCAAATATTGCCTTTCGTTTTGTCACCGTGCCAGTGTCGGCCAACAGTGCGATCTGTGTGCTTTGTGGCGCCGAATCTGCGTACCGAGAGTTGCATCTAAATGCCATGAATGCATTTCGCAATGAGAGCAATCTGTTGGCCAACGTTGAGCGCTGCGTTCCACGTAGTCTGCCGGAGCAGCTGGATATCGATGCACATGTCTTGGCGATTATACTGATTAATACTGAGACGCGCAAAAGTGTCTTTACACGCAATCTCCACCAATCGTCGAATGCCAAACGCATTGTCGTCGGCGACTTGCAGCGTTTGGACATGCTGAAGAAATTCTTTGATCACACCTTGGAGAATATGCATGAATTGAAAGTGGCCAAAGACGATTGCAGCGATGCAGGCACGAGAAATTCCTCCATTATGTTGGATCAATACAGTTGCTCTGACTATCACAAGTGTTATGCTCAGGCGGATGACCAGAATAATGTTATTTTCCTGCTATTCGTTGCCGCGGTGCCAACACATGCGATGAGGTAAGTGGATGGATGTTCTTTCGACTGCACAAAAGTTTCATAGCTTCACCTGTTCTTTGTCAGATTTCTTGCGAAGCAAGTCTACGCTAACCTATTGCAAGATAAGGCCGTCTGTTGGTGACCTTCTTGGTGAGCTTAGTATCACCGAGCTTATAAGACTGATGATTGGAATCCTTAAAATGGGCTTAAACTATTTTATATACTTTTTATAAGAGTAGTTTTCTACATCGTTTGCATTTATATTTAAGCAAGAAATGTCTATTCGAAAGTGCTAGAAGGGCAGATATTCTGTTCAAATATGTCAAGGACACATGAAGGTTACTTTTAAGCTGGGTACAGGGTATTTTCTAGTGCTTACTCTCGGCTAAAGATTGCATTTCTTTGGTGATGGAATAGATATCTCTTCTAAGAATCTTAATATGTTTACGTTAAAAAGGAAAAAATATGACTATTTTATTTAAAATAAATTCATATTGCTTCTAACTATTTTGAAATCTTTTTCAGACTTTTTTTTTTTTAAGTATAACTCAAAAACTAAGAGCTAAAGAGCTATTTATATTTATTTTGGATGCCTTCCCGAAACTTTTGTAACCTACTATTTTCTTTGTTGCTTTAATCAAAACAGGTTATTTTTCTATGATATAAAATCAATCGGGATAGATTTTCAACTTATTTTGATACTCTTAGGAATAATCCTTACTCAATGGACTTGAGATTCGGAACGCACTAGACGAAATATCGACAATCTCAATGAATTCCCTTAAAGACTTATTTGTTTATATATTATGGATTTACATATTCCGCAAATTTGCCCTAGTTGGAGTACAGTAATAGCATATTTTAGATTTGTAAGCAACTGGCGAACTGTTATTACTCAGTCAAAGCTAATAAAAATAATTAAAAATTTTTGATTCAAATAGTTATGTCAATTTCAATGCTAATTTGAACATTTCCATCAGAGTCACGTCTCTGGGCAATGCTCTTAGCTTAGCCCAAAAACGTAGTTGCTTCGTAAACAGAGCAATCCGAATGGAAATAATCGTCTTACTAATCAAACTCTCTGTGGTGTGGAGAAGTGTCAGTCCAAGCTGTATCCCGATGGGCGTCTTTATCTACTGGAGCAGTCGCTCGATCTTTGGAATCAGAATCATTTCCAAATATGTAATAAAAACCAACAAGTCATCTATTGATTACAGTAAGTTCCCTCTAAACTGAAGCGAGCCCGTCCAAGAAAAACAAAAAACACATTAAGTGCGCCATTAATATTTTAGATGCGTTCGGGTTATAAAACTAACAAATCATAACGCCAAATTAAATTTCAATATTATTTTGAACAAGCAGTGCGCATTCAGCGCGCGGCGAGTGCTGTTCGCTGTCGGAACATAAAAAAATTTACTGAAATTTCAAAAAATCTGTGTACATTTTGGATTTAAGGACAGACGAAAACTTCAAGGCCAAGGATCTACAGGCCATATAATGCTGTTTCTACGGAGTCAAGAGGAGCACACGGCCGAGGAGCTGTTCAAGATAAAACAACTACGTCAGCTGGTGGAGAGTAAGAAAAGGATTATTCTGTTGCGGCTCTGTTCTTGACAGATATATATATATATATATATATATATATATCTTCCCCTACCGTTTCTAGAGTCCGATGAGCTGCAGGTGGGAACGGATGAGATATTTTTGACGAAATTCCTGCACTACACAAACTGGGACACATTAAGAGCCTATCAGGCCATACATGCCTACTACGATTTTAAGCAAAAGCATCCCACATGGATGGCCCAGCATCCCATACAGTATTATGCCAAGCTTTTCTATGCTACGCACTGTCGCTTCGTGATGCCGCAAACGGACAAGCATGGCCGCGTGCTGGTCATCTTCAAGACGGTGGACGCATTCCAGCAATTTCCCGACTATCTGCAGCATTTAATCGAAATGGATGATCTCATCTTCGAGTCGATGCTAATGTTGCCGCGCGTGCAGCGGCACGGCATAACCGTGATCTGTGATCTTCAGGGGTTGGTAGTAGATTATGAGATGTTATTTACGAAATTTTTTACTGAACTTTTTTCTCTAGCACAACCCGGAATTTTCTGCGTCAGTTCTCGCCCATGTTTATGAAGATCGTTAACGAAAAGAATACGGTTCTGCCTTTTAAACAGCGCATGGTGCACATCATTCAACGCGGCTTTCTCATGCACGTTACCTCGTCATTGTTTCTGCCTTTCATGAACAAAGATTTTAAGGAGCACGTAAGTAATAGCATATCAACATTTTTCCTAGACTTATCGTCTTTTCTTTGCAGATTTTCACTCACGATGGTCGGCATTTGAGTAAACTACGCGACATGGTTGGGATTGATTGTTTGCCCGCGGAATATGGCGGCCCGGCGTCTAATGTACTAGATACTAATTTGATTTTCAATCACTTAAGTCAAAATTCAGATTACCTGGAACAATTACAGCGATATAAAAAGCTTTAAGTATGATTCAAGAAGAAGAGATTTAAAATTCCTAGTAGTTCGACGTTTTCCAAAAATAAACCATTCATAAAAGATCTACAAAATGTAAATAAACCGGCGGCGCAGTACTCAGGTCTAAAAGTTGGGGTTTTCTAATTGTGGGCGGGAATTATATTTTTTTTTTTCAACACAAAGAAAAAATTTTAATTCTTGGGTAAATTAACAAACCAGTATGTATATATAAGATGTCATGTCATAATATACCAATATACACATACGAAAGGTCTGTTTTTCCTATATATTTTTATTCCCAAGCGTGGAGCGTATTGATTCAAATACGAAAAAAAACAAATGCGGTTTTACTTTAAATATCTACAGGGTGTTCCCTTGGAAATTATTGTTAAGCAGCTCAACTGTTAACAGAAACTGTAATGTAAATTCGAACATTTAACATCGATAGTTGAAAGTGCAAGCTTGGCGCCAAAAATTATCGATATTCACATATGATATCAATAGCATTCGCTTTGTTGTGAAATTACGCCGGTTTCCTAAACAACTTTTATGAATACCATCTAAATGGCATCTAATAAGGTAAAATGGCAAAGTTTTTCAACTTTTATAGAAATAAGATCTTGGAAATATTTTGTAGGAGTGTCTAATTATTGTAATAGACGTGCGAAGCTGCGCCTCCGAGGAATTAAAATTAAAGTCGGTGAAGTGCGTTGCAGAAATACTAAAAGACAAGGTAAATTACATTAATAGACCTAATGACATTATAGTCTTCACAATTTTGTTGTTTTATTTTAGATCGTCAGCGACAAGAAAGACTATGTGTCCTTTGTTTTAGTGGGTTGTAAAAAGAGCAAGAATAAGTTGAATACTGCTAGCGATAATATGTGCCAGAATGTGGTTCAATTTAATGAGAAACCGCAGCTTTGCAACTGGCAGCTGTTGCTGGAATTCTTCAAGTTTGTCAACGAGCCGCCCTGCGATGGGGGTGAGTGGCTGGACGGTCTGGACGTAGCCGTGGCTATGCAAAGGGCGGCCCAGGAGTAAGTTTGCGAGAGTCTCATTAAATATTTTCGCTTACTTTTTATTCTGGTGTAGCTTAAGGTGTGCTAGGCAGCGTATTTTGCTGCTTTACGATTTCAACTACATGCCACAGAGGTACGATGATTACGACCGGATCAGTAGCGATTTGCTCAAGGAAGAAATCGATTTGATTGTGGGGTGAGCATCAAAAGGCAGAAGGGTTCGCTCATCCTTTTTACTAATCTGAATTTGCACTATCCACGCCTCGCAGCTCGCACAATATCTCCTATATTGACAATGCCAAGAACAACCTGCCGCAGGCCATCTTTCAGGTGTCGCGGAAGGCGAACATCTATGAGCAGGCGAACCAGAAATATGCGATGCAGTTAGTCAGCAACTGCAATGCTACCTTATGCAGCTTTAAGGAAGCGCTGGCCTCTGTGTTTAATGTGTCGAGTAGACGCCCTTGGGTGTGGAATGCCAAGCTTAACATTGGCAGTGTGATCGCGATCAACTTACAGGGCATCATTGCAATGAAGAACGAGAGTCACATTAAGCTCAAGAAGGTCTGGGCCGAGGCAGAGGAGACAGTAGAACGTGAGGAACGTTATTTTATTAAAGGCACAGAGGTCACGCCATTGCCCGAAGATCTAATCGATGGCTATATGCTGGGCGGCACTCCGGTGCCTTATGATGAAACGCTCGTTGAGCTGCCGCCAGCACATTCGCCGGGCTTGCACTTTGTGGGCTTTGTAAAGCGCAGCAGTATACCAGACGCCTACTTTTCGGGCAACTCTCTTTATATGTTGGTACATCAGAAGGGAAACGTTGTATCCGCTCAAAAACTGGACGCTTTGGTTAGGGCATTAATATTGCAGAAGTGCGCTGTACTCTGTTGGAAAATTTTTAGTGTTAAATTTAATACTCCGCGCATTGTGGTACTAGTACCGCAAGAGTCCACAGTGGATCGCCCGGCCACGTTATACATGCTCGAGTTGTCTTATCATGCCCAACACCAGTTCTGGGATTTTCCTGCGCTTCGCACGGCCAAGACGGAGTGCAACGCGGATCAACTCCAGGCAGTCGATACGCTAATCGATAGCATGGATCTGGAATGCACTCTGCAGGATACACAGCAGCCCAGACAGCAGCGGCAGAACGATTTGCTGCCATTCGATGGACTGCCCAGCATCTTCGAACAGAATGTAATGGATGTGTTGGAGCGCAAGGTTATCAATTCAGCAAAGAGCGATCCACAGTTCAAAGCAATGCTTGCCGATAAGAACTTGGTCGATTTCTTTTGGAGGGTACCTGAACCCATCGAACAAAAATCCAAACAGGCTGCGAAGGCGCTCAAAAAATTATTTCCCTTGGAACATAGTCATGCATGGCTACAGAAGCTCAAAGCCAAGGAAGAAGAACAGAATGCGCCGGCAACCGTCAAGCAAGAACGACGAGATACAGAAACGTCCATCAGTATTGACAGTGTGGGTCTAATGACGCCCGCCGAAGACTACAAACAGCTGTTGCAAAAGGTGCGCTCAGAATTAAATACTACTCAACGGGATGTCCAATTTCAATCACTAGCGGCTCAAATGCGAGTGGTTATTATAACGCTTCTGGAGCGCAACAAATTAGACCTCAATCAATTGAACGAAGTGCTAAGCCTCTATCGGGACAGTTGTCTTGAGTTCAACAGCTTTGCGGAGTACAATCAATTTGCAGCACTGATAAAAACCAAAGCATCGGAAAGGAATCTGCAAGAGTTTTGGAGCAGTATTGTGGTGGAGAAAAGTCTTGGCCCGCTGGTGCTAGGCGAGCCAACTCTGGAGGACGAACTGCGATTGAATGCGTATTATACGAAACCAGAGTTTGGCGTTGAAGAGCAAGGGTGAGAACATTTAGCAGAATAAATAAAGAATTCCATCTTTGTTTTTAGATTTGTATATAATTTATCGCTGAAAATAAAGATTTTCTGTGTTTGGTCTAATCAGCTCAAAGTTGGCCAATGGCTTTGTAAATAAATACTTCAATAATTTGGCATTTTTTGTTTTTTAATGAATTTCAAAATACATTTACAGCGCCCACAGGACAATGAATTAAACAATCAATTGAATAATTTCATTTGATTAATAAGTTTTCGTTGGTGCATTACATATTATTTGCAAATATAAATTATGTAGCCAAAAGGGAGAGGAAGAACTAAGCTTAGCAATAAAAAGCTTTAAGGAACGAACAATTTAAAATGTTTGCCAATCTTAATTAAAGTACACTTAAGAATTTACAAATGGGGCATAAGCAATGCCAATTATGTACATTGCAAGTAGGTTTTTCTCAGTGTATGTGTGAATTACAAACATTAAATACATTATAATTTGTTAACACAATCTGTGTAACGATTGCAAGCGGCAAGTGCATACAAAATATAAATGTTAAAGTTGTTTTGCAGTGCGGCCAAGAACTCCAGGCTTCCTCTAGTCAATGTTCAGCGATGACATAAGTTCCTCCACACTGTCAGGAATAGAGTGAAAAGTTAGCCACATCAATTATGAATATTGCAACATATAAATTGTGTTTTATACTTGCACGCACGTTATATCTAAGTCCTGAAAGGCAACACCCAACCAAGCAACAACTAGGCAATAGTGCTGGAAAAGCTGCAGCAGCAGTTCGCCCTCGTCCAACATCTCAAGACGCTCGATACGTTGGCGCTCCGATGAGGAAATGCTGTCATACACCTGCACCATGTCCCAGGCACGTGCCCCACTCCAGCCGCTGTCCTTAAAGCGATTGGTTTGCGTCTCAAGCGACAGACAGGATTCCACGCCGGCCAAACTGCAGCCACGGCTACGTAGATTATTAAGCATAACGTCGCCAAAGCGATCGTTCATGTTGACCTATGAAAAACAATCGAATTGTTTAGTGTCTGAATAATTATGTTCGCGATGATCTTTACCTGTTCATAGTTGACAAAGACGGCGGCTTGAAACTTCTGTGCTATCCATTTGAGCAAATTTCGACAGTTCTGGGCCTCGATATAAACGAGAACGCATTCCGCTAAAAATATAGTGGGCAGAGTGAAGTCCACTTCGGCTTGCTGCAACTTATTGTCCACCTCATCCAGATTTCGTAGGTCAACGCCCATCAGATGATAGTTTGGTCCATGCAGGTCCGTCGGACTGAGCCGCACCTCTCCGTCTTCGTCGTTGATTTTGCCCAGGAGCGCCTTGTTGCGTTTGATTGTATAGCATTTGCGAGCCGTCACTGTGGGGAAATCTAGCTCAATGAAGTTCTTCACCTTGTGCGCGGTGTCCCGCAACCGAAAGTAGAGCGTATCAAAGCCACAGCCAAGGTTTATGATTTGGCAGTTTCCAGAGGTTTTCTGCAATGGTCATGGCCAGTTAGTTAAACAAAGTAAAGTGCAAGGTCACAATTGGGGCGTGATGCGCAAGTGCAACACATGCGCAGCAGCAACATCAGCATCATTCGGTATGCAACAGGATTCCGATTCCAATTACAATTTCAATGCCACAGTACGGACATGCACTTGACCTTAACCTGAGTCTCGGCCAGACAGTTGTACGGAGGCAGAAATGTAATGCAACTAGACTTGTAGGAAAAACTCAAGAGAATTATCCATAAAAAATTATGTTTAAAGTAGGCAAAGGTTTTACTTATGTAACAAACTGTGCTTTTTAAATTAACGGCTGACAATAAATTAATCGATGTTCGATTAAAATCCTATCGATAATTAACAAATGATCGAGCTGCAAGGACTTTTTGTGTTTATGTGTATTAAATAAAGCTAAAATTAGTTTATATACAAATATTTCAACGAGATTAAATCAAATTGTATATAATATTGCAAAAGCAAGCCTCTCAACTAAAGTTTTCATTGAAGCCACATAGTTATATCTAGAAGCTGTGTCACGTGCGTATCTCCGAAACGAAAGATTCAGAGTCCGTTGGGACCATGATGCGCATGACCCATTATATACATTTTCCGCTGACTGCAGCCGTTAGCTGTAAATGTACTATATACAACTAACCTTCAGAAACTTCTCCACACACATCTCAACGCCCTTGACGCGTGCAAAGTAGCCACGATTTAT